ACCGATCCAAAATCTCTTAAATAGGAAATAATACTATATAGTTCTTCTTCATTATTTTATTAAATGTACGGTAATTAATATATAACTTTAACTTACTTCCTTTTTTTAAGAAAAAAATAATAAGAGCCCTTACTAAATTAATAAATAGACGAATTTATTTTTTATATAATGTTTCCACTAATTATTCCTAAAGTATTTCTAATTTTTTAATATTAAATGCGTAAATAGGGCCCTAAGGAGTAGACTTTCCTTCGACTAAATTAATATAATACTTTAAACGGTTATACTATAGTAAGAGTATAGCCAACGCTTCGAATACTTATTAAAACTCTTTATATTCCGGAGGGATCGTCGGTTCCGCGGCGGTTATCTCTTCCTCTTTAATTTTAACGACAGGTAGCTTCGGAAATATTAATTCTAATAAAGGTTCTAATAGTAAGTAAATTCTCTTTAATGTAATTTTAAAAATTTTAAAGGGTATATCCTAAATATATTAATAAATATAAGAGTAAGTATATTAAAAGAAGTATTAAGGAAGTCCGGGATATCTAGTAGAATTAAAAATTCTATACGTAAAGATAGGAGAATTTCGAAAAGGATAGTCGAATATAGTGAGGAATTAAAATTATTAAAAGATTTTAATATTTCTTTCGAGTCTAATATAAAAATTAAATTCTAACGCGGGCCGTAGAAAAACGCTACCGCTTCGTAAATATGCTTGGTCAGCTTTTTACTCATTTCTAAATTTTATACCTTAATCCGAAATTAGAATTTCTTCTAATATTAATCGATTTCTAAATTATATTCATATAATTAAAGGTAATTAAAGATAATATTTACACTAAGGGAATCAATAATTATAAATATAATCCTTTTCTTCCGTTTAATACTATAGGAATCGTACATTTTAATAAAATAAATAATCGAACTACATACGGGAACGGGTTAGAAAAAGAAATTAACAAAATAATAATTTATAAGTTCTATTTTAGCGTCCGACGGGAATAAATACCTTCTAATAAAGTTTAATTCTACGTTAAAATTTATTAAATTATAAGTTTTCTACTAATTTCTATATATTTTTACCGATAACTTCGTATTTAAATATAATTACAATATACCTACACTTCTTTAGGCCAAAGTAATCATAATCTTTACTAATACTACCAACTTAATATTCATACCTTAAATTAGAATACTACGGGGAATAAAGTATTAATATAATATATAGCCTAATTTACCGTAATTATAATAAATATACTTAATATAAGAAAATACCGAATATTTAAATTTATTATACTTATAGTAAATATATACAATTTTACTACCTGGTATTAACCGTATATATATTTAAATTAACTACAATAATAATAAACAATATTAGAATTAATAGAAACCGTAAGGAAAAGACGAAAGTAATTACTAAGACTAAAACTAAATATAGGAATAAAAATAGGAATAAAAGTAAGAAGAAAGAAGGAGAAAATAAATAGGGATACGGTATTTAATGGTACTAACGTTACATTATTAATTCTAAAATTTCTAAACTTTCTAATCGTTTTATATACGCTACCACTTCGATTAATATATTAATATTATTCGCCAACAAAACGCCATTACATAAATAGGGATATAAATAATTTACTTATTATAGGATATATAAATATTCTGATTATTCGTGGAATAAATTAAACTCTTCAATATAAAAACGGTCGTAAAATATATAAATAGTTTTAATAGTACTTTATTATATATATTTAAAATTAGTAAAAGCGGAACGTTCGATAATTTAGATATTACCGCTATATTCCTTCTTTAAAAAAATACATAGGTCTTTTTAAATAGGAAGGTTATAAGTAGGATTATAATTAATTTTTTTTAAAGGCCGTAATATATTTAATTTATGCATTTTTAAAATTACTTTTAATATAATTAATAGCAAAAGAAAAAGGTGTCCGGTGGTATTCGAAATAGTAATTATTAATATTAAAAATGAAATTATATAATTAAGAAGAACTTTCGCTAATAAATTTAAAAATATTAAACTTAAAACAATATTGAAATAAAGTAGTCAATTAAATCGGTTAAGTAAATATAGGAATAATAAATATTATAATTTAGAGAGCGATGATAGGAATAGGAAAGGTCGAAAGGCGCGCTTAATTATAGAAGAAATAATTTTAATAGTAGAATCCGAGAAAAACGGGAAAGTAATTACTAAATTAATTTTATTCCAATAAATCAATAAAATTATTCTAATTATAAAGAAATAAGTAGGATAGGAGGTAAATTAAAAATAATTTAATAACCGCTACGTAAGATTTAAAGAGTCTCTACTTCTATACTATAATATCGTTCTCTAAATAGTAGAAAGGATTGCGCAAAACGTACGAAAGGGTAAAGGAATAGTCGCTATCCGAATTATCATCGTCTATTTCTTCAATAATCAGCTAATAATATTAAAACGAAAGAAAAAACTATTACTAAAGGATATTATCGGCTACAGTAAGAGGGGTAATAAATCATTTTTATATACCAGAAGTAGAGGGAAGGGTTTCTTTAACAATCTGAAAAACGGATCGTCCGCTATATATTTACATCCTATTGGTAACAGCTTAACTCCCGTAAGAAAAGTTATTAACGTATTAAAATTAGAGAGGAAGGTAGATTAAAATACTCATAGACAGCGCAAGTACGTAGGGGACGTTAAAGTAGAGGAAGGATTAAAAATATATTAATAACTAATCCTAATAATTTTAGAAGTAAATTCGACCAGCTATTTATATCATTACAAGCTCTATTCTATAGTAGCCAAGTCCGCGACGGCTCCGAACCGTTCCAACGCTATATTGCGGCGCTATACTATACGGACATCAACGCTCCTCGGCGCTAGCATAGGTCCAACGCCTAATAGGTCCCTAGCGACCTAATAAATAATATCGAAATTTCGTTTATATTAATATACCATATGTACGCTTACGCTAGCGGCCGTTGCAATATTGTTAATATATTCATCGTTATAGAATATTAAATTTATAACGGCTTACTAGCTTACGTTAGGAACCTTTATTATATTGTATAACGAAAAGACTAGTCAAGATAATAAAAACGCTAGATAAAACAATGGCCAATATACTAGCATTAAAATACTAGCTTTCTAGTACAGATTTTGATACGTTATGATGCGATACAATTAATTTGCATTAATTAAACGGTTAAATCTAGTCAATCTGTCAAATCTATATTCAAATCGGTATTATAGCCAGCTCAACCCAACTAGCGTGCCAATACTATCAAGGCGTTTGAGGGTGGGAACATCATATGCATCGGGTTAGGGTTGGATGTGAGAAATCACCCCTGTTGGTGATTCTAACTCGCTTCTTTAACCATGAGTGTGTTTCCACGCCTGAAAACAACAACATATTCGGAACATCGCCATGGAAACTCAAAGGAGCTTTTATACTTATAAATGCACCTGAGCCTCTGCGCCATTCCTCCCTACGATTGGACTCTACGAGAAAAAGCATATCGTCCGCACGTGGACTCGGAGCGTTGAAAACTTGCGAATATGTGGCTTTTCTGTCCCTGACAGCTCAAGAACTGGCAATTGGTGAGCTTCTTTCGTGGCGTTTGTTGTCATGAGTTGAATCTGTTTTTACGGTATCGATTATGCAGAGGACTTTTTTCTCTTCCACTGTATGCAAAGTATCGGATAAACAAGATGAAAGGGGTCAAATATCCAGGGTCTGCCGGTGCTAAATTCGCCCGTCTTCTCGCGGATCTCTCATTTCGAGCAGCTCACTGTTAACGCAGCTTAAAGGGTGTTAGCAATATCGGGGGAGTTCTTGAGAGCTACTAACAGAGATCTCTACCGTACTATCTAAGTGCCAACTCAACCCAGAGCTACTGCACGTCATCACGTTGCCGTCTTGCTATTCTCAGCCGCACACATCGCTAAATTGCACTTTTGCAACACTCCCATGCGAGTCCTCTGTGATTTTGGGTTTGACGATACTATTCTTGTTCGCTTTCAATGCCGGCCATCCGTGAAAACGCCAAAGATGGGAGCTCCAAGCACAAGAATGCCCAACTGCGGGGCTACCACCCACACTCTTCGAATGCTGACGCTTCCCGCAAAGGTTTCCTACTTCGTCCCTCGTTCGCCTCAGCCTTCCCTTCTCGGCATGGCAGGAATGCTACTAAAACACCACCACTGACCCCTACTGACCCCCACAGAATCCTGAAATGCGTTGGCAGATTGTCAGTGCCCAAATTACTTCGATCTTCTAGTAGTCAAGCTACTGCGAGTTGCTCCAACAGACAGGGGAAGAAGATGCTCACAAGATCAGTCAAAGAAGATCCCATCCGGAAACCGAAAGAGGTGCTGCAAGGAAAGGCTATGGGCGTTGTGTTGTGGAACAGGGGACCTCTTTCAGCTCCCAAGCGAGACCCAAGCTTCCAAACGACTTGGCGCTCTCCTCCACGAATCGCAGCTTATTCTTCTGGTCATGTTCCCTAAACCACCCACGTCTACCACGCAGAGCTCTCATCAATATGGCATTCTTGGCTTGATGTTGCCACGCTACATGAGCCCCTTTCGCAGCCATTATCTAGCCAAAACCGGACAGCGGGGGGTGGAGAAGAGAGTAGAGTCATCCCTCACGTTACAATAAGGTGTGTGTCCGAAATCGAAAGGCGGGAGGGGAGGCAGCCAATTGGGGCCTTGAGTGGCTTGGCAATGAGGAGATTACAATGCTGCGGGCTGAAGGTGTGAAGGGAAGGATTAGAATAAGAAGGGCTGGAGGGTAGGTGCCGTGTACCTCTAGCTCTTTGTTTGGACAGAGCAAATATTACAGCTCTGTTCCCCCGTCTTCAACCACCAACCCGAATCTCGTTTTGATCCGCGACCCGTGTCAGGATCCATCCACCGAAATACAAGAACTCGAACTACTTACCGATCGATATCGATATCGAATAGTCCGAGAGGCGCAAAAAACAAGATGGCGTCAGCCCGTGGACTCACCGCTGTTGGAGTTCCTCCATTCCCGTCATGGATTCTTTACATTCGGATTGCCATCCTCGTGCTATCACTTGTTCTTCTGGGTGTTGCGGCGTGGGCTGTCTCGTTGTTTTCCGTAGGAGGGTCTGCGGCTTATGGATATACGGGCGCTAGTGGGATGATGGTCTTCGTGGTACGTGACTGCTTCCTTCTGTAGTCTCTGTCAGCGCAAGAGCTAATTATTTGTTCCTTCAGACCATTTGGAGTCTTGTAGTTTATGGGGGCTCCCTCGGGTTCCAATTTGGGGCACCTCACCTCTTCTACCGCATCGTCGGTCTTATTCTTTACAGTCTCGCAGTGATCTTCTGGCTTGCGGGTTGGGCGTATGCGGCAAGCCAGGCGGCTCTCGTGCTCGACTGGGTTGGAGGTTATGGTGGTGAAGTTCATGACTACGGCTCAGCCTTGGCTGTGTGCGCCGGTCTAGGTGCCGTTGCCTGGTAGGCTTCCCCATGTCTACCGAGTTCTTCTTTTCGGTAGAACTAACGAGTATTTCCATAGGGTCCTGTCAATCATCGATCTAGTCTTTTTCATCCTCGCTTGTGTTCGCGAAGCCACGGCGCCGAAGCTCAGCCAGGCTGAACTCGGACAAGTGCAGCCAACCGCTCCTGTTGCGTCCGTCACTACCAATGAGCTACCTCACGAGCAACCGGTATATTCGCAGCAGCCCTATGCGACACAGTAGACGGACGGCCTTGAACACTTGTATGGGGAACTAACTTTGGGGACTCGGAATTGTCACTGGGTATTGCGTCGGCCTCATAAGGGGCTGCTTGATGGCTGTCGCTAGCCTCTCGTTTTTATGGTATTTGTCACGGCGTTGAATGGGCTGCCCGCGGAGAAAGCGGTTCGATCGGAGTTGGGCCACGACGGAGTGACTACCCGAAACGTTCACTCTTTTTCTATTGTCACTGCAGTTTTTGCTTCTTGAGATACCACGGTCAAAAGAAGACGGCGCGATGTTGAAGGATCTGATGATGTCACTCTCACACAAAGGGTGGCGAGACTTATCTAGGAAATAAATAATTCATGAATGACGATTACTTTGATATTACGACAGAAACAATATTTCCTGGTGGGCTGATTGAAAATTCCAAAACCATTTTCAACGGCAGGTGCAATGTGGAATGTGGCATAGGGGCCTGATGCCCCAACGCACAATAACTGAAAAGTGGAAGGCACCAGTGATTACGAGTCCATTCCTACCTTCCACTCCGATATACATTTGAGGAAGCGTCATTCGCCAATTTGAGACTGTACCTGCATCACGATCTGCGTGTCTCTTCTTTTCCCCCCCGAACTTCTCACTGGACAACCGGGCTCATGATACTTCACCTCCTGGACACGACACCCGCATTGTCACACCTTCCGACAGATCCACGATCTCTTCGTGATCTTGGCACACAAACTTGTTGATTATTTCGCAGCTCATTTTTGTTGTTCCTCTACGGCCGAGTCCATTGGAGGTCACTTACCTGTTGGCATGCGTAAAGCAGCTCCCTCCAGCGCATATCATCAGCCAGGTGTCGAGAGACTCCTATATAACAGACAAGCTACGCCCTCCAGTCATAATCCGTTGATCACCACCTCGAGGTTTCTTCCAGGCACTTATCCCTTCCTTCTCCCATCCACTTTACCCATGGATACTACTCTCAACATTTTCCGTCCCCGGCGCTCGACCAACCCACTATCATCTGTTCAGGATTGCTACTAATGACGATGGAAGTTTAGACAACGCTTTTGCGGTGATATCAGTTCTCGATGCTCAACGCCAGTTTGACACCGCCTGTCACCTCGACATACACACCGCAAAGTTACGATCACAGTAGACTAGCAAACACAACAAGCATCAGCCACAAAGCGCTGTATTGTCCCTCCAACGTCGATACTTCTTCCGATGCCAAATTCTCCAATCTTCGGAATCTACTGGTGAGGGCTCCCCGTGTCACGAAAGAGAGGGAGGACGTTGAACATGTGCGACACGGAAAGCAAAATGGAAGAGCTACCCATGTGTGTGACTATCATGTCTTGTCATTTTCCTATCCCTTCCCAGCAGACCAGGAGGATTGATGGAGCGATATTGCAATCTAACATTGCAGATATGCTGTACGACCCGACGTTACTGTACACCATGACGGAAAATTTGTCGCCCGTTCATGTTACTGATGCGCTCGTCCCCTTACACCAAGGCGTACGCAGGGGCGAGGCACGGGTAGTAGAGGTACGTCCAATGGTCCTTTCCATGCACCCACCCTCCTTATTCCGTCAAAGCCCGTCGGCCCAATCTGACTGGTCTTCCTTGTATCCATCTAGGCGCGGAAATCAAAAGCCCCCGCAGCCAAAAACAATTCCCCTTTCCAATTTACCTGCCAAAAACGCCTCGCTATGATGAAGTGGTAAAGTGTCGTGTATGAAAGCAATGAAACCGAAAACCGAACCAAATTCCTCCCCTTCGAACGACCCTCCCAAGGCTGATCAGTAGAACTGGTTGAACTGATCCGTCTGCTGACCGTATGATCCGTGATAGTTTCCTTGGTTCTGATCGCCAGAACTTTGCTCGCCCGTATCCATGAACATATTACCCATTTCCGGACTCAGTTGAAGATCGGCAAAGCAAATACTCGGCGAAAGTGGTTGAGATGTGTGTGGGAGTACCGCATCGTGGCCCGTTCCTGGCAGATGACCGTCACCACCCATCAGGTGTGACTCTCCAGTGAAGTCAACACCCTCGCCTGGCCAGGGATACTCATTGAAGTTGCCAGCGGGAACTGCATCCGGATTTCCAGAAGCATTGGAATAACCAAGGAAGTTGGGATCTCCCTGGGCCTGGCACCACTGACCGAAATCAGGATTCGGGGGATGGTTGTGCTCGGCCTGGTGTTGCTGACCCTGATCGGGATATCCGTCGAATGTTGGCACCGGAAGATGATCAAGTCGGACTTCCCCAGCCTGTTCCATCTTGGGCTCAAGTGGGTTCTGGTCCATATCCATCATCATCTGGTGATTCTCGAGACAGGATCTCACCGGCCATGAAGCTGCAAGCTCCTCGAGCGTACGTTCCTTGCGGCCTTGCGAGGCCATTTTCTGAAGTCGCTGGGGAAGATGAGCAGTCTCCGGCACAAGCGGCCTGTAGGGTAGATTCACGCCATTGCCCTGGAGAGCAGAGGGGCCCGCGTTGTTGTCGCCCGGTTGTCCGGATACCCTTGCCTGATACCGGTCCACTACATTTCCCAGTGATTGTCGGTTATGTTGGACCTCCCAAAGCTTGTGTTGTAGCTCCTGCATTTTCTTCTCCATATCCTGTAACTCCTCAGCGTACTTGTCCTCCTGTTTGGCTGTTTTTTCGTACTTCTCCTTTGCGTCCTGTAGCGCCTTGGCTTCCTCCGTCTGTTGCGCCGATCCCGTCGTCTTGCCGACCTGAAGGGCCACCGACTCAGCAAAGTCGAGTCCGAGCGGGACGAGCTCGCCACTCTCTACCGCCGTCTCAAGCTTCTTGCGATACTCTTGTGTGTCGACGTCCTGGCCTACAGGGATCGGCTTTCGGACCCAGATGGGCGGATCAGGGGGAAGATCGCCTCCCAGACCATGATCGATTAGCTTCTGCTTGGCCTCCTTGTACATCTTGTAGAAAAGCTTGAAGTTGTACTCGTATCCCGTAACGGCATTGTCCAGTTCGACAACGTAAAGGGCCTTGCGGATACGGGAGCGTTTTGCCGACTGGTTATTGCGTGCACGCTCTCCCTCATATTTGGCGTCGGCATCGCTCTGCAGGGGCGTCGATTCAGGAAAGGGCGATGGAGTGTCTGCCGGTGTGGAGACAAACAGAATGTTTGGATTCATGTTATTGTCGGGGTCGAGTGAACGTCTCAACAGGGACTTCTTTCCTCGTCCACCCTTGGCAGAGGACTTGGTCGTTCGCTTGTTTACGCCCGAACCTGGTCGGGGACCGAGTGGTCTGCTCTTTCCACCTTTCTGTGACTGACCTTCAGCTCCGTCTTCTTGGTCCCGTGGATCGGGATTTTCTTGGTTCGCTGCCGTCATCCACCACCTACTGGGTCGTCACCTGCACGACGGGCGTTTGGGATACCTAGGGACTACTTCGTAACTGCTTGTTAGTTTATCACGGGGATCAATAGCCTACGGTATGCTGGCCCAGTACAGTGGATACTTTGACCTCGGAAAAGGGGGGCTTGGGTACTATGAAGTGAAAAAGGAAGAAGGAAGTAGTAGCATACAAGATTTGGCTTGAACTGTCAAAGACGACAAGCCTGGCCACAAGCTCCCAACGATGTTTGTGCGCAACCGCGACTGTTACGCCCTCTTGATAATCTTCCGTGGAGGAAACCGTATACAGCGTATACAGCTCGGCTGTTGGTGGGTAAGAATGGATATGGTCGTGCAACACGGAGTACCGTTACGTGCTGTCCCGCCTTGTCAAAGGATGGGGGGCTAATCTTGGTGTGTGTGTGTCTCGGACTTCCCTGTATCCTGCTATCGTGTGTGGGTTTTGCTGGCGACAGCGGCAATGGCGATGATAGCTCTGCGTTGAGATCTGATATCCCCTGTTCTGATTCGGCCTTGTTTAGGATATTGTTCCTGATTCAGCCAAAGGGGGAAATTTTTCCTCAATAAATACCCCTTGGAGAAATAGTTCGTGGCTCACGTCTGCAGCCTGCTATGGTCCATCCACCGGGATAAATCGCAATTGACGAGCTCCCGGTAGGTGTGTGTGAAGGGGCTGAGTCAGCCCCTTTTAACCCGTTGTTCTGTTTGTTGGTGATATGGGATGCGTGCGTCGATGGGCGAAAATATGGCATCAATGACACCACCAACCACAGCCTTCGTTTGGGCAGAAGTTCGGGTGGCCTAGAAGGGGGCAAAATACCAACGACTGAAGACGCGCTCGTTTGTATGTATGCCTTGATCGTTGGTGAGTGCGTTATTCACTCGCGCGGAGGTAGGTGCTCGAGACGGTTTTTTCCTTTTTGCCCAACAGGTAAGTGGTGATAAAAGGGGGCGGTGGTCCGGTCCGTCCAAATCGGTTCGTCTTGCACGGCTAGGTGACTGGTGAGCAGCAAGAAGGCTGGAACAATGGGACAAGTGTAGGCCTGAGTGAAGCGAATGTTCTCCTCTTTTTGTTCGTTGCTGGTTCGTTGTGAGCCTACCCCGTTCGTTCATTCGGTTGCTCCTCCTACTCGCTAGTGAAGATAATGACTGTGTGTTTTTGGTCAGTTCACAGTTTTTCCGTATTCTCCCTCTCTCTCTTTCGCGTGGGCAAAAGCTGCCTGGCCAAGTTGGCTCCGCCGCCGCCGTTACACGCGGGACGGGTGGGATTTTGGTTGGTGTAAGGGTAGTAAGTAGTATGTCTAGTGAGTGACTGTGACTGTGTGTGTGATGATTCAGAAACAGCAGGGGTTAGAATCACATCCAAGAAGGGAAAAAGACGAGGAATAGTTCCGTACGGTGGAAAAAAAAGAAGGTTGTCGAAAGAAGGAAAAAAGGATGGGGCGGCGGGTGGAATGGGATAGGATAGGGGAAGGAGGAAGGAAAAGAAGGAATATTAGAGGTGAGTTAGCCGCACCACGCACACGCGCTTCTTCCTGTGTCCCTCGTTTCGTTTGTGAGAGGGTAAATTTTGTGTGGCTGTACGGCGCTTGCGTGTGTAGTAGAAGTCAAGAGATTAACGGGTGAGTAGGACGTAGGGTTCCTACCTATGTTTCTACTCCTCTCTCCTCTCTGGGGGTGGGAATGCCTGGTTTGTTTGCTTCCGGCCAGTGTTTCCCTCTGCTATTTTAATGGACTGGAAGGAGGCTTAGTGCGCGTGTTGCGCGTATGTACCTTTACGGGTAGGTAGGTAGTAGTAGCTGGTAGGTGATAGGTAGGCAGACTACCTTGATGATGCTCAAGCTGTGTGTCTGTGTCTGTCTGTGTTAGGAATGCGTGTGTGTGCCGTTCAACTGTGGGTGACGATGGCACGAGCGAGCTTGTGTCGTCTGTCCGTCCGTCTACACACCGTCTGTTGTCCCCTGATGGCCACTGCTGGGTCACCTGCTGTGATGAATGTTGCGCGTTTTTATCTGCACGCCTTGTGGTTTCTGTGAGGCTTCCAGCGTTAGTCTCTTCTGTTTTTGGATGAGTAGCCGCCGAAAAATTCCCCGCGTGTTCTGTTATGGTTGTGTATGATCTGCCCTTATCCCTTCTTCAGCTCCTTGTACGCTTCTCCCGGCTCCCCTCAGTAAAGGCCGAAGACGGATGTCACGTCACGCCAGCACGTGGGGGTGGTAGTGTGAGAGCGAAGGGTGGCGAGTGAAGAAAGCTTGGTGAGGTTGAATGTTCCCTCCTCTGTTTTGTGTAATGATCCCACCGATATGTATATGGCGTTGTCTGGGGAAACGAATCGTGGCTAGGGGTTCTCTGAATAAACTGCTCACAAGGTCTGGCTGGATTGTTGGTTGATAATTCCCGACTGGCTGGTAATCCGGGGTCGAGGCCAGTATTTGTACCTTTTCAGGAGTGTTGGAGATAGCAAGTGTGATCGAAGGGACGGGAAGATGTCAATATGACTCCGGATTGCACCGAAAACTGTTTCGAGTTATTGCGCGATTGTTGTTCAGGTCAGTAGGAATGATCACACGGACACCTTATCTGCGAAGTACGAGTTATTCGAAGGTCAGATTTCGGCTGCGCAAAGTTAGAAGGCGTGACTCTTGCTGTAAACGTTTCGTTGGATCAGTGTTTATCCAAGAAAAGATAACCCATCAAGGTCTAAACGCTGACTCAGGCACGAACGCAGGTAGCCAAGAATCGTCCTCGTGCAAGGAGGAGATACCGGAGCAAAGGAGGGAAACGCCCAAAAAGCGGTGCATGACTGGAGGTTCACAGTATTTCATATGCCTCCAACAGCCAGCCAGCCGGCTATCCCACCTGCCAATCTAACAGAATGACGCCTAGAACCGAGTGAAGTGTATGGCAAACAAAAGCACATGACACCAACGGGGCCATGCTTTGCGTCGATACCGGGCGGTGTCGATAAACTTCAGACGGAGATCACAGAACGAGGATACTCCCTCTCGCAAGTAGGGTATTAAGCAGCAGTCATGTGGTTGATGTTGAAGCCCGTTCGTACAGGTTTGAGGCTTTCCGAATCTTCCCGACCGCTTGGTCGTTGATGATATCGAAATCTTCGTTCCAGAAGCCTAGGCAACATGGGATGAAGCCGTTCCTTATCCTCGGTTTTCCCTCATTTTCCGCCTTTGTCAATGTCTGTCATGAGAAGGGCCCAAGGTTTAATTAGGGAGGCGAAATGTGGAAGCATACGCTTATGGATTGGAAAAGCAAACTGAGCGAGCAAAAGCACCAACGCCGCGGTTCTGCGTTGTTGGGAGTTCCACGACATAGACGGGCCTCTGGCGGTCTTGAGACCAGAACCGCGGAGGGTTGGTTGCTGATAACATTTGTCAAGCTTTGACAGCCTTGCCACTTGACGGTCAAGCACCGGGTGAGTTGGTAGGATCGGATGGCTAAGGTCTCAGCCACTGACGATATGATGAGCATGTTTTTGGTGATATGGCCCAAGAAGAGATGGAAATCGTAATTCCAAGGCAACTTTGCCAGTAGCTGCCTCTCTACACTGTTCCAACCGGACACCTCGCTGCATCGCACGAGAAGCAGGCCCGGGAGGAACATGATGGGGACATTCGACAATGCTCAGCGACGCAATCAAATCTAGTATATCGTGTTAGAGCCTCTGAATACCTCAGGAATAGGTCGCATCACTATACCACATATGCACAAGGCTTGTGAGCATCCCTGAATAACCAGGTGATGAGACCCGAGGTTTGGGGTCTAGCTTGGCTGCGAAGTCCGAGACATAGCTGGTGTGGTACTTGATAGGTAATGGCATAAAGTACAGAACTTCATCAGGATTTGCCCATCATCTCCCGGCTGAACGCTGGACAGGAGTGTCGCGAGAGGGTAGTACACTGTTGTGCCGACATCCTGCTGAGCATACGCAACTGTAAGGGTTGCCGCAATGATTTCAAACTCGGACAAGAAAATAAAGATGTGAAGAGAAAATGGTGTGTCGATGGATTGATGAGCACCCTCAATGCACAACGCAGGTGAAGAAAGGGTGAAGAGGATGCTGTTGTTTCCTTATCGCAGATAAGGACCATGAGGTGAAGTGGTATTATGATAAGTACCGTGCTAACTGTTTACTGGAAACACTCTCGGCTTGACGCTGCAAAACCCGCTTTACCTCCTTCAAAGCCTCTTTACACTAGTTTTGATACGCTGGAGACCTACTTCAAGAGAAGTTCTACCAGAGAAAATGCTGATTCTTTATTCACAAGCTCTCTGGCTAGTCTGGTTGTTAAAGAGACTCTTGGTTGAACTGTAATGCACAGACCATCCAAATGCCAAGACTCAAGAAGAGCGTTCGTTAATTGAGACGCGGTTCCCGCAAATTCACTTTAACAGACGCGTCTGATAGCTGCAGTGGGCTGCCCCACGATCACCCAAAGAGCGATAGGACAAAGCCGACTGCACCGTCTTCTTTCTTGTTGGATACGCCTTGATATCAGTGAGCGAGCCTTTTATATACACTCCTTCTCTTTAGGCGGTCCAAATTTGGTCGAATTGAAGATGCTACCACCCTCGTCGCCCATCGCATTCCCCTCCAGCCCGCCGCCCGCAACCGCAACCGCAACCGCAACCGCAAAACGGCCTCGCGACTCCGATGCTCCCAAGCCCGCAAAACCCCGCGCTCTGGGTGGCTTCCTCTCTGACTCTGACGACGACCATGTCTCTCTGGAGCGATCTCCGAAGCGACGAATGCTACAGCACGACATCCAGGCAGATACCCAGACAACCGAGCCCCCGCTTCTCAGTCAGCTAGCGATCGATGAAGACCCCGAAGAAGAAACAGAACGATATGAGCGCCTATTCGGTACAAGAACAACAGCCTCGGCGCTCCCTACGACTTTGCTCAGCGATTTCCTCAACACGCCCTCCTACCGCATCTCGACATGTTCCGGCAAATCCATCCCTCTCCGGGAGCGCAAACCAACAGAGCCAGTCTCCTACGAGACAATGGTAGCAGCAAGATCGCGGACAAAAGAAGGCCGGGCCAAGAAGAGCTATTACGGAATTGATATCCACGAACTTATCGACGACGCAACAAAAGAGATTGCCGAAGCGCACAAAGCAGCCGCCACGACTCCCATCACCCCTCCCACCAACCCAGACAGGCCCGTACGATCGGTCGAAGAACATACAACAAATACCAAGAAGCACAAGAAGAGCCTGTTATGGACAGAGAAATACCGTGCCCGGACATTCATGGACCTAGTTGGCGATGACTTGACCAACAGGCAGGTGCTTCGCTGGCTTAAGCGATGGGACCCCATAGTATTCCCACATGCCGCAAGAAGCAAGCCATCACGGCGACATGGCGCACAAGGACAACCGCAGCAGCCAGAGGAGGAAAAGCCACATCGGAAAATCCTCATGTTGACTGGCCCGCCTGGTTTGGGCAAAACGACCCTAGCGCATGTGTGCGCGCGACAAGCTGGTTATGAAGTTATGGAGATCAACGCAAGTGACGACAGAAGCAAGGACGTGGTCAAAGGGCGGATTCGGACAAGTCTCGGAACGGAGTCAGTCAAGACGGTAGAGAACAAGAAGCCCGAGACAGGAAAACAACAGAAGATTGCTCGACCGGTGTGCGTAGTAGTTGATGAAGTCGATGGTGTCGTTAGTGGCTCGGGAGGGTCTGGTGAGGGCGGTTTCGTCAAAGCCTTGATCGATCTGGTGCTCCTTGATCAAAAAAACAGTTCTGGGGCCGGGGCCTCTTCTGCGGCTGGTCGGAAAAAGAAGAAGGGGGATGACTTCAGACAGATGAGACCTCTTATCCTGATCTGCAATGATGTTTACCACCCGTCGCTTCGGCCGCTACGCCAATCAGGCCTTGCTGAAATCATTCACGTAGGCAAGCCTTCCGTGGAGGCAGTAGTCACACGTCTCAAGACTGTCTTTGAAAAGGAGGGAATCCCGTGCGAAAAGGACGCTGCGCGCAAGCTCTGTGAGGCCGCATGGGGAATGACCAGCGGTATTGACGCCAAGCGAGGAGCCGAGGGCAATGCCGAGGGTGATCTTCGCGGCATCATGGTCGTGGGAGAGTGGGTTGCCGGCCGGTTACGAGCAACCATTACGAGCACACCGGTTCTTACGAGGCAATGGATTGATCAAAATATCGTCCAGGACCTCGCTCACGGTGGTGGAGGTGCCCGCGGTCTAGGTCGCGGTGGCGTCAAAGAGATTGTAAACCGTATCTTCCAAGAAGGCGGTGGCTTCCCCAAGCCAGTTCTATCACAGGCTGAGCAACCAAAGTATGCCAAGCACGAACAACCGCAGGCAAATCTCGGCTTCTCAGAGCAGCGGAAGAAGTATGCGATGGCGCGATTAAGGGAGATGATTGACACGAGCGGCGAGGTCGACCGTATCATGACCGAGATCTTCAGCGAGTATCCCAACCGTGAGTTCAATGACGACTCCTTCCTCACCAAGCCCGATTCAGCTTATGAGTGGATGCACTTCCACGATACATGTTCAACGCGGTTGTACTCCAGTCAGGAGTGGGAGTTAGGCCAATACATCTCCCAGCCACCTTTGGCATGTCATCACTTATTCGCTTCCCCTAAACGACATCAGCCTCAGAACACCGAAAGGAAGTGGGGTGACGTAATGGAGGAAGCCGAAGCACCTCCACTGCCCTTTAGCGGTCCAAGAGCAAACTTTGAGGCGCACGAGGCGGAGAAGGTGAACAGAGCAGCGCTGCAGGGGCTTCAAGGGCAGCTGCCCCCTAGTCTTCATCGTCTGTTCCGCAGCCCTGAGGATATCTCCACACATTTCCTGCCATATCTTGTCCGTCTGGTATCGCCCGACGTGAAGCCCGTCGTAGTCGGTGGCAGCGACAAAAGCGGGGCGGTAGCGAGTGTAAGGAGGGAAGGCGAGAAGGCTATGGTCAGGAGAGCGGCTCAAGTACTCGCCGAGGTGGGTATCGCTTTGCAAAAGGGGAAGATTGAGCCGGATCCGACGCTTGGGCAGCAGTACCGGACACAATGGGTGTATCGCATGGAACCGTGAGTGCTCAATCGCTTTTATTTCTTTCTAGCTGATACTGACTTGGCGTTCATCGCAACAGAGACCTTGACACGCTCGCAACCTTTGAGACAGCCGGCGCCCTCGTCCTAGCCTCTCAAGCGCCAACGCGATATGCCGTCCGCCAAGTTCTAGACCAAGAGTTACAAAAGACCATGGCAATGCGCGAGAACGCTGCCAGGCAAGCGCGGATGAACAATGGGCAGACTAACTCTACTTTCAAGCCCCACGCTGCTGCTTCTCTCAACGTCATGGACCTCGACGCTAACAAGGAGAATATGGCCATGTTGGCCGATCAAAAGGAAGTTAAAAGAGACTTCTTTGGTCGGGTGATTGTGGAAAGGAAGAAGGGTGTCAACGCTTTGGGTGAGAAGAATGGGGATGCTACCGCCGCCGCTGGCGGGGGCGATGGCAAGGAAAGCAGGAGGAAGGGAAGAGGCGACGTGGCCGGCGATGAGAAGGACATCAAGGTGTGGGTCACCTATCATGAAGGGATCAATAATGCTGTCCGGAAACCGATCTCGTTGGAGGAGTTCATGAGAGGATTCTAATGTTATTGGGTTTGCGAAGCCTGAGAGGGTCGCTTCTGTCCCTTATACATGAGGACTCAAGAGTCAAGACGTCCCCCTTTACCATACGACATCATGTTGAGAGGTAGTATTCTTGTCAAATCCATTCAGACCCGCTGGCCCTTCCACATGTCCTCTTCCTCTCCTACAACTTTCAGCTGACCTGGTTTTCGGCCGGAGTTTGAACCGGCTTTGTGGCCCTTTTTCTTTTCGCTCTCTCACAATTTGTTTGTGTAATTCCCTTTTCGTATTTTTGTGTTTATCCTCATTATATTCTTTCTGCTTCTTTTCCCTATTTCCGGTATCGCTGTTATTGTGAGCTACGCCCGACGTCGCATCCCTGTCACTAGATGCATCTGGGCCCTGGCAAGCCTGGGTATGACGCTGTTCGCCCAGCCCAAACAGTGGCCCCCTTCCAGGTATTCAGTGACAGGCTTTCGAGCGGAAAACAACAACCGCCTTCGTCATCCATCAACTATTTATATCCGACGACTCCTTAGCATCGCCGTTTTCTTTTCGTATATCCTTCTCGTTCCGACTCTCCGCATCACCAGAACTTTCACCAAACATTATGCATGTGGTCGACATGGACTCGGCAATGTCGCCTAACTGCCCGTGTCAGGATGGCCCACTCGCAAAACCAAGCGACGCCATCCGAGTGACACCTCATCAGCTCTGCGATCGGTGCTCAACAGTCGTGCGAAAATCTGCAGTTCTTCAGGAATGCTTTCGTCGCTTAGATGAAGGCGACCAACGCAGACAAGACTGGCGCCGATGCGAGATCTTTTACCACAGCCAAGGCGTGGAGGAGCTAGCCAAGTCTAGTCAGGCTGGTTGTCATATTTGTACTATTGTACATGACTCCATGACCAAGTCGGCAGCTCCAATACGCGAGCATGGTCCTGTACTGGTGAAAGTAGGCATCGAGCCATTGCAGGACGAACTCATTGATAATGACAGCCTGTCTATGCGCTTCGGAATTCTCACAGTTGAAAAATGGAGATACTACCGAGTTCAAGCCGGGTGGAAAGAGGAGGATGGGACAGCGCTCATATACACTGGAGGGCCCTTGGAGGCGGATCACTTGTTCCGGTACGGCTGCACTCGCCAACTTACTGTCAACCTTTCCATTCTTCTGCTCAACGGTAAGGCAACACTCATCCCTGGCATCTTGACAGGTTTTAACCGATATGACAGACACCCATTTTCTTCTTCCCAAGGAGGCAAGGGGATATCACTTGTCTCGTGGGCCATCAACAGAAGCACCCGAGACCTTTGAACTTGCACGGTACTGGCTGGAGGAATGTATCAAAAACCATGCTGAATGCAATTCACATGGACTGCAGATTTCGAAATCCGATGAGCTTCCGACCCGACTTATTGACATTGGGGAAGGTCCCGGGCAGCTCGAACCTCGCCTTTTCTACCCCTCGGCTTCCGCATCTCCAACCGACCTAAAATACCTGACAGTCAGCCACTCATGGCACGCAACTGGAGTTACCGAGAAGCTCACGACCGAAAATGAGAGCAAATGGCTGCAGGGCTTACCGATAGAGAAGCTATCCCCGAATTTCCGCGATGCGATGACGATAACACGGCGACTCGGTTATCGCTATCTGTGGATTGACAGCTTGTGCATCATTCAAGACTCTCGGGAAGATTGGGAGAGAGAAGTGCCCACCATGACCAATGTGTACGGACGCACAACATGCAACATTGCGATGGTTGGACAGGCCGGGGATGAGGGCTGTTTCCGGCAAAGAAACCCTCTGGCGGCCTTTCCTTGCCGACTTTACGAGGCAGACGGGAAGCAAAGTCGCCTCTATGCTTTCATCGAAGGATCAAACCGGAAATTCAGTCGAGGCCCTGAAGAGATAGTAGGATCCTTCCCTCTTCTCAAAAGAGGTTGGGTAGTCCAAGAGGCTCTGTTGTCGCCCCGAACGATCTTTTTCGGGGATCAAGAGGTTTATTTCCATTGCACAAAACAAACAATGTCCGAATCCTGGCCCGTGGCGCTTGACCCGCATATCCGCCACTTTAATCCCAGATTTCTGGGGTTCAGCAAGGTCAGAGGGTTCCGGGAATTCGGCCAAATCTTCGAACAGAGTTGGAAGGAAAAGTTCAAAGGAGCCCAATTCGACATCAAGGATGAGCGGAGGGCAGCCATGGCGGCAAAGAACTTCCTGAAAAAGAGTCGACAGCTGCGTGCCATGTGGAACCGGTTCTTGCTATACTACACCGACACAAGTTTGACATTCACGACTGACAGACTGGCGGCGGTTGTCGGCCTTGCGGAAGCCGTTGAGAATTACACGGGGCTCACATACATCCCTCAAGCCGGCACCTTCAAGGAGTTCTTGCCTCTTGATCTTCTGTGGTACAGGAACTTCCGTTCTGTTGACCTTCTATGGCGCAAGTCGCCCACGGGAACGAAGGCCCCTTCGTGGTCTTGGGCTGCAAATGAGGGAGATGTGCTTTTCGACGAGAAGTCGTGGTTGGAGGGTTCACACGACGATTTTGAGTACATGGGTCTACTCCTTAACGTGTCAGTCCCTCCAGCCTTGACTTCTTCGCCACAAGGCTCGAGGCCGGAAGTCGTCATCAAACTGAAGACGCTTATCAACCGCCAGACGGCCCTTGGGTTAGGAATGCGAGAGCCCCCTGGCTTTTGGGTGGAGTATCTTCCCAAGGCGCGTCTCCAGGTGGTGCTCGATGAACCCGTACAAGACGGAACTACCATCTTCTTTGTGGTTGTGCTGCGGACTCGCACGTGGAATAACTCTGGCTACGACAAACATGTGTCAGGGTTGATTCTGGTGCAAAAGGATCCATCGGTCGCGCAAGAAATACCTGGGCAGACGTTGCATAGGCGTGTAGGATTCTTCCGTATTGCTGAGCCGGCAAACGTAGGGGGCATCCTCGATTTCTTTGCTGGTTGTCCAAAGAGGGAGATTTGCATTTGTTGAAGACACGATACCGTAGATTATTAGTAAGCTTAGGGGAGTTCATTTTGGGTAGATGGAAACAGACCAAGAAGGAATAGCAACCGATGTTCGGTTTCTAGCAACAAATCTCGGTCATATCCTCGTGATACTGTAGTGACCTTCTCTATTCTCGTCTTACCTTGCGAGGATTATGTCAGATCTCACCCCCTCTCTGCTTCCATCCATAGTCATGACAATTCAGTCCCTTCTCAGTTCCTATAACCTCACAAAGATCCATTCCCAGCCCAAACAAAGCCCAGCACACCATGTCCATGCCATCCACAACGTGCCGCCCACGTATCCGCCACATCCCGGTCACTGACAAAGCGGCAAGGACCCTCGCTGAGCCTCGATGACGACCATTGAACCCATGGGATCCACACCACCAACACCCAACCGCCCCACAACACCAAAAAAAAAAAAAAAAAAAAAAGGGTTTCACATCTGTTACATAACCCTAACCTCCGGGCTGTCCTCCAACAACAAATCGGACCATATCAGTTCAATCGGGTATGGTGTAGCGGTAACATCGTTGACTCTCACTTCTCAGGAGTGACTGCTCTCTCAACAGCCCCGGGTTCGACTCCCGGTATCCGAGTCTCAATATCTTTTTTTTTCTTGCTTGGAAATCTTCTTTTTTTGTGTGAACGTATGGTTGTCGAGATGCTTTGCGTTCTTGTGCCTGTCTGTCTACATACTACTGCGACTGTTACTGTGTCCTTCTTTTTTTCTCCTTTGCTAGTCTGAGTGAGAAACCGTACATGGTTCTTTCTTCACATGAAAAAACTGCGAGTTGCTAGTTGTTCGGTCTTTTTGTGTCAACTCCCATGATTGCATGCGGAGATTATATGTCGTTCTTCCAATTTCGTATGGCCGTAGCATCCAAGGTAAACAAAGTCGAGCGCTGCGAATGGTGAGAGTGTGCACCATTTGTCCGTCTTAGAGAGAGAAAGATTACCAAAGATAGCATCTACAGTCCAATACTGGTTTGTTTGTTAGCTCGAGACCTCTGGTCAACTTTCCTAGGCGTTTCGTTCCATAACCAAAGCGTGATCTTACCTTGCATATGCTATTTGGAAATTTGATATGCCATATTGAATCTTGTTAATGCCTTTCCGATCCGTACCTAGCCATTTATTTTGTCCTTGTGAGGTTTAGGACAGTTCGGCATAGATCTCGTCCAGTATAATACTAAGAGTACCACACTAATAAACAAACCAGGGCTGGAGCGTAGACTTTTCCAGTCTCTTGACACTCGGATGAACATTTGAATCCAGAGCGCCTACGAAAAATATGGAAAACTTAGTGCGGCCTCATCATTCCCAAGCCACATGGATTGATGCTGACGACCTTAGAAAGATACGTAGTCAAAAACAGGCGTTGAGATCAAGACCAAAAAGAAAACCGCTTCCAATGGAATGAATCATCACCATTCAAAAAAGAGCCGATGGAAAAACTGTAAAAAGAGAAGTTTTCATGCGCCAGCCGCGAATCGAACGCGGGGCCCATCGATGGCAACGATGGATTTTACCACTAAACCACTGGCGCTTGTTGATAACAAAACTTGTCAGACCTAGTGACTATGTACCCACCAAGAAGCATTTTTCCTCCACCAAATGTGATAACTGCTGGACATTTATACAGTCCAATACTGGTTTGTTTGTTAGCTCAAGACCTCAGGTCAACTTCCCTAGGCGTTTTGATATCTAATTGATTCGTTTCGTTCCATGATCAAAGCGTGATCTTACCTTGAATATACTCTTCCCGAAACTCAATATGTCATATTGAATGTTGTTAATGGCTTTCTATTTTGTCCTTAAGAGGTCTGGGACAACTCAGGATAGATCTCGTCCAGTATACCAGGAGTACCAAGCTAACAAACAAACCAGCATTAGATTGTATGAGCTTTACCAAGGCTTTATTTTACCAAGGATGAACGGGATATCTTTGGAGAAAATACAAACAACTGAATGGGTATAAAGTATCCTTGCATCTCTAATCCGGGTAACGTTTGTTAACTGACCGTTCGTTCATACCGCTGCCCCGGAACCCCAAGTATTTGACATGGGCAAGATGCAACCAACATCAAGCTTTCGCAAGAAATTCCCACAACGCCTGTAAATGCAACAATCAGAAACAAGCAACCTCCGCTGTACGTCTTTCCGTCATGACGCCGTAAATGCATCGTCATCGTCATCATCATCGTCGAGCCCTACACCGCTCTCCAACCAAGCAGCAAACGTCCACGCCCTCACCATGCCTCGCATCGAAAACAACCGTACTGAAAATCGTGGCACTAGGGTCACCACCACTAGCACCACCAGCACCACTAGCACCACCAGCACCACCAGCACCACCAGCACCACCACCAGCACCACCACCGTGCCCTCCTCTTACCACCGTCGTCGCTTCCCACTCCCACTCCCTCTCTCCATCTTCATCCTTCTTGCAAAGTAGACATTCACTATCCTCATCATCATCATACTCCGTCTCATTACCCACCACCCCCGACAACGGCCCCGAAAACGTAGTGCCCCCCAACGGAATCTGTCGCCCGTCATCATCATGCTCACATACCCCGCCCAAAGCAGGACAGAACGGCAAAGCGATATGGTCGGTACCGAGCATTTCCGTGGTGAGTTCGAGGGTGAAGATGATTTCGCCGAGTCCTACTGTGGACTGAGGCTCCTGTTGTAGGGGTTTTTGTTCCTCGTCCTGGGCTTGGGAGTCAAGGTTGGGGTTGCTAAGAAGCTGTTTCCTTTCGGCGATGTCGTCGTGCTGGACTAGCAAGGCGATATCGATGTCTTCTTTTGCGTAGTAAGCGAGGTGGTGGGCTCGGGGTGGGTCGCGGGTGCAGTACTTGAGGGATGGAAGTTCTAGTTCCGGCTCTGAGTAGTGGTCGTTGTCGTTGTCGTTGTCGGGGTCTTCATCGGTGTCGGTATTGGTGTCATAATCATCATCATCATCATCCTCGGGATCGGACAAGGATTTGAGATCGAGCAGCGTCATGTTGAGACAGCCTCCCGGCGCTTCCGCACCACCCAGACTGCGGTCTAGAATAGTAAAATCGAGCCGCTCGCCGGCCTTGGCCGAGTAGGAGAAGATCTTCTTGGGGAACTCGGCGCTGAGAATATCGGCGATTGCCATGCCCGTGGTGACGGGTATGGGAAGCGGTTCGCCCTCGTCCGTGTCGCCGGCGCCTGAGCCGTCGGTGACGGTGAGACCGCGGTTCGTGACGAAGTCGATGAAGTCCTTGGCTGTCTGCTCTCCGCGGCGCGTGCTGCTGAGGAAGGAGAAGGTTCCTCCTGTCTTGAGCACGGAGGAGATGACCCCTTTGCCGGGAAGGCACTCGGTTGATGCGTTGCTGTGGGCAAAATATTGGAGTGGCAGAAGGGGCGGGTTGATGCACCCATAGTGCACGCGGATACCCTCGCCTGATGCCCTCTCGATCTGCTGCAGCACTTCATGGACATCGTCTTCATCCTCCACGCCGGCAGTGAGCAGGAGGATGGCGCCTCGTTCGGTGTGCTCTCCGTCCGGCTTTGCCCTTAGGATCTCATCAATAGCCATGGAAAGCCCGACACCGATATCTGCCTTTCCGTCATGGATTGGAGCTGTCATGTGGGCGGGTAGGCGAGTCGTCGTGTTCGGGGGATAGTGGATGTTTTCGTTGAAAGGTATCAATGTGCCGTTCGATTGGGTTCCCTCCAGGTTCAGATAAGCCGGGCTCTCCATGGGATAGACCACCCGCGCACTCTCTGCGAACTCCACGACCGTCATCATGTTGTGCAAACCACTGCTCGTCTCCATCTTAACGGCCAAGCTCATTGCCACCTGTCTCTCCAGTTGCAACACCCCGTTTTGCCTGGCCTGGCTCGACAAATCGATCACGACCGCCACGTTTCGCGGTATGCAATCCCTCACTGGATCATCCCTCACCAAGGCGCAAATCATCAAATCGCCCTTTTCCGCACCGTACCTATCCCTCAGCTTCTCCCTCAACGTCTTCCAAGCATTGCGCGAATTCTCCACCGCGGCCGCGACCGCTCTCTTGAAGTTCTCCTCACTCGCCTTCTCTGTCCTTGGCGTACCAGGCCCGATCTCGCCAAACGTTCCATCAAGATACACCACCCCATGGTCCTTGTTCATCGTATGATGCGACACCCTCCCCTCGCAATTGCTCCTCCCCGGCGTCGCGTCTGGCACCACGAAGCATCCCGTGCTCAAATTCCTCGGCACCAGTTCTCTCGGAATCTCACCGTGACTGCGCAGGTCCAAAAACGGTGCGGTATCGTTTCTCCCCAAGCCCGGCGGGTTAGCCACGCTTATAGGCTGCGACCCGTCGTGCTCATCAACCCAGTTGCTGTGCGCATAAAAGTCCTGTAAACCGTGAAGCGCGCGCCCCAGGGCCTCGATGGTGGCACACTTTGCGCGCGCAAGCGTGTTCACCTGCAGCGCGGGGAAGGCGAAGCGACAATCACCGCCCGCAAAGGGCGACAAGTCGACCATGTCTCTACGGATGCGCAACTGGCCCTTCTTCTGGAGGTGCGCGCTCCCTTCCTCGTTGGTCACCTCCTCGTCCAGCTCGATCAGGTCCGCGGCGCTCTTCCAGGCCTGCTTGAACCGGCCGCGCAGGTGGTCCACGCACGTCTGCAGCGCCTGGGTCGCCTGCTCTCGGGTTCGCGGGTACCCCGGTATGTCGATGAAGTCGGCGTCGTCGCAGTGCGCCTCGGGGCCTTCGGGGACCGGGTCAAGCAGGTCGGGAGCGCCGACGGCGCCGTTGGTGCCGCCTCCCGGGATGGGGAAGCCTTGCACGTCGATGTGGGTGCCGGCTAGCTGGTCGAGCGAGCGGGGTTCGAAGCAGATGCCGTCGGATTTGACGTTGATGATGGCGTTGGTGCTCGCGCCGGGGCACTGGAAGGCCAGGCGGGTGATCATTTCGTGCTCATTGTGCTGGCCGAGCACAATGGGCTCGTTGATGGTGCCGAAGGAGTGGGTGCATCTTGGAATAATGGCGAGTAAAAGGAGCGTTGTTGCCAGCGCATTTGTGGCGCTTTTAGGGCGCCTATGAAGAAGGTTAGTGTATGGTTGTATTTGGGGTAAATCCTAGAGTAAAGAACAGAAATCGCAGTTGAGGTTGAGGGCGTACCGAAGAAGTCCTAACATATCTCAAAGAGCGGTTTCGTTATGATGAGGTGGGAACACACGAGCAACTTAAAGTCCGTGCGACTGAATAGATCCATGTTATGAAGAGCTCAAACCTGTCATCCCTTAAGTTGTCAATCCGAATTCGAGGAGAAGGGATCGAAGCAAGGCATTCCGGGGAAGAATTTGACACAACAAGGTCGTCAACTTCAAGGTATGACAAAGCCTTGGTTTTGGGTCAAGCGATCCAGCAGGCGTACTGTGGGACATGAAATGCGCGGGAGTCTTCATCGCTATTGGCTCGAAAAAGCCGTTGCACGTGGTTGTGCCGGTCATGGACTTAACATGTGCTCCGATGATCAGGTACCATTTGCTAGTAGTCCGGTGTTGTGCCGGGCACTCCGCTGGCCGAAAACTTCCAATTTACATACAACGTGGAAGTCTCGACTGTGTCCATGTTCTCCATTGCAACGAAATCGCGAAGTTCCAGATTCGAGCGGTATAGCGGAATTTAGACCCCTACCCTATGACGTATGCAGTTGTAGCAGAAATGTTCGATGGTTACACACAAAAGGTTATCCGAGCGATTACTGGGCTACGTGCTTTTGAGCATGTGATAGTGAGTTAGGGGTAGGTAAGATATGCGTTGTTGTGCGAAGGAGAGGAAAGGAAGGTGTACATGTCAATTTCGCAAACAGTTATTTCCCCTCGCCCAAAGTTCCCGGTCGTTTGCCTTTCCCCGACTTCCTTGCCTTTGGAGCTCGTCTCTGTGGCGTCTGTATCAAAGGTACCATGGGACTGGCTTTGCTCTGCATCTCGTTGAACATCTTCTCCGTCCAGTCGAAGATATGGTCGTGTTTGAACCCCTCTGCTCGAAAGAGGCGACGGAAAAGCTGGCGAAGATACGAGTAGTCCGGCTTGTCGAAACCTAGGGTCCGAGTGTAGTTGATGTACGTGGCAAATTCTTGAGGGAGGACGCCCTCGCAGAGCTTCTCGCCCGATAGCCTCTGCTTCATCTCCTTCATCCGCGCGTCCTTCTCCTGGTCCGTTGCGTCCTTCTCCTGGTCCGTTGCGGTCTTTAGGCCTTGCCACGGCAAAGAGCCGCGGGCGAAATATACGAAGATGTACCCGAGAGACTCCAGGTCGTCCCCCCAAGAGTATCCTTCCCGCGCGTTAGCAAACGGACGGACGAACGGCATTGCAAGAAGACACATACCACGGCCCTTGTGATTATTAACGCTTGCGTACCGACTGGTGCCGCATAGTGGGAGACCCTCTACATTTCTGTAACGCTCGGTATCGGTAAACTCCTTGGCGAGGCCAAAATCAATCATGTAGAGCGTGTTTCCCTGCCTGCCCACCCCCATCAACAAGTTGTCCGGCTTAATATCGCGATGGAGGAAGCCCTTGGAATGGATGTATTCGATTCGGGAGATGGCCTGATCGGCGATGAGGAGGATGGTCTTGAGCGAAAATCTTCGGTCGCAGTAATCGAACAGATCCTCGAGCGACGGGCCGAGGAGGTCAAGGACCAGCACGCAGAAATCGCCCTCCCATCCAAACCACCGCACTTGCGGGATTCCCACCCCGCCGGATAGCTCCTTGTACGTATAATTCTCGTTGCGGAGCAGTTCGGCGTTATCATCTCGAACGAATGTGAGCTTTATCGCGACCTCCTCGCCCGATTGGAGATCGGTCCCTGCCTGGGTTAGTAATAACTTGAGCAGTAATTAGGGACAGCGCTCTACCGGAATAGACAAGGCCGAAGCCTCCTTCGCCAATCTTGCGGTCAACGCGGTACCTGTCGGCGATGAGAATGTCCTGTAGGGTATATAAGCAGCTTTCATGGTATATCGGAGCAGTTGGACATCCGTACCTTCATTGTGAAATTGAGCTGAAGTTGCAGAGTGAAGCCCTTGGAAGGAAAATGGCCGCGACGGAGCCACGAAAGCAGCCCCACCTCGAGTAAAATGGCACAACGCTGATGGCTTTCCCAAGTGCGACACCACGTGCCGTTGCCTTCCAGTCCAAATTGAAAGTATTCCCATACCGCGCAAAATCCTGCAACGCCAGCTCAGTCCTAGCTCACGAGCGCGAACCTGATCATAGGCGACGACCCCGCACCCTGCGCCGTATCCCTGCCGTACAGTGGCTGATGTTTGGCTGATGGCTTTCCCAAGTGCGATACCACGCGTCGTTGCCTGCGGAACGGCGCGTTCCAGTCCAATTATTCCCATGCCGCGCACACTAAAACCAGAGCCCTGCAACGCCAGCTCAGTCCTAGCCCACGAGCGCGAACCTGATCATCTCTCGATTCAAGCCTTACGAAGTGGGTGCTCATGGCGAACGCACACAATCGAAAGAGAGCCCCCGCAGACGACGTCTCGCAAGAGCACCGTCCCTATAAGAAGATCAAGTCAAGAGGCAGACTTTACGGGCCGTCGAACTTCCCACCAGAATTCTGGGACAACCTATCCAAGGTTCCGCTCACGCGTCGCGCACTTCGAGAGCTCGACCGGCGGAACAGTACTCGGCCTGCCCCAGGGCCCGCAGCACCGGCAGTATATACCACTGATCTTGCCCGGTTTGCAAGACACGGCGGCCCAGATCTTCGCCGTCTTCGAGGGGTATGCCTACGATTTACTGACTAGGAATGGATGCTGACTTACTATTTCAGTGCCCCGAACCGAAAGGCGCCGTACGTACCATGGCTTCCAGCCGCTCCACATCTTCAAGCCGACGAACCAAGTCGGCAAAATCGACAAAGGCAACGGATGTCGCTTCTAAAACCAAGCCGACGTCAGCGTACGATGACGCTTTCGAGCTGCATGCGATTGACAACGGTATATATCCCGAGGGATATGAGCATCCGGACGGCCGCCGAACGCCTGAACCCAACAACATAGACCAACTACTTTTGGAGTTAGCTGCTACAAGAGCTTCCCTTTCACCATCACAGTTTCCTGACTCGGCATTCCGAGATTTCAAAAAAAAGCATAAGACTGCGTCTGAAAGCACAGTAAAGTACAATATAATCCCCATCATTGCCGGCAATACCAACATTCCGAACAAAAGGGACCTTCACTTCACCAACATTCAGTCGATAACTGGAGGACTCACTGTTAAAGCTGTGCCCGATTTCTTCGACGGGGCTCGGCTCGGCGATGTCCACCCTAAGATTAGAAACGAGGGAGAGGAGGGCAACCTAAACAAGCTGATCATCCCCACAAAGCACACTAGTGCTCCGGTGGTACCGAATTTCTTCCTTGAGATTAAGGCTCCCAAGGGCGGTGCCGACGTTGCTCAGCGACAGGCTTTGCACGACGGAGCAATTGGCAGCCGTGCGATGCACGCCCTGATGAACTACGGCAAGGAGGAGCCGGCCTACGACAGCAATGCGTACACCTACAGCTCGACCTACCACGCCGGCACGGGCACGCTCCAGCTGTATGCGCACCACGTCACGCCGCCGGCCGTACCGAGGGGGCGGCCCGAGTACCATATGACTCAGGTCAAGGCATTTGCTATGACGAACGATCTTAATATATTTGTTCAAGGAGCAACGGCATTCCGAAATGCAAGGGACCACGCGCAAAGGCACCGCGGCAGCTTTATCCAGGCGGCGAATGCACGGGCACGCCAGTCCGACGTGGAGACATCGCCTGAAGCAGAAATCACAGTTGTTATAGCAGACAAAAACGAGGAGTCGACTGACGAATTCGTGGATTGCGAGGACTATCACGGATCACAAGCTGTCGGCACCGAGGATTACACTGCACCTGAGGACGTTGAAGAACCGGCCCTTCCACAGGACCTGTGTGCGGAGGACGAGGAGCCTAGCCAAGGGTACACATCTCTTGGTGCCGAACCGGCCACGAGCTTCGCTACGAGCTTCACGTCGAGTTTCAACCGGAGCCAGACCAGTTCGAAGCGAACCAGGGCATCCCACAGCCCCCCCGCGACTTCCCAGCTACGGAAGAAACCCGACGGGGCTAAGAGGCGGGCACGCCGTAGTACGCCTCGACGAGCGGCCAGACCTTGTGCGTAGGGCTCGGCGTCTTTGGGATCTACTGTTAATTTGGGGTGGTTTTTGCACTTTGTTTCCCGCTCGTCAGCCGCCGGTTTTGTAGGCCTGACGAGTAGGTACAGATCGGTCGGGTTTGCCTCAGAGAAGATCCGAGTAGGAAGGTCCAGATCAAGACATTCCAGGGATAAAAGGAAGGGCTTCTTCTCACTAGAGAGAGGAGGACCAGGCAACTTGGACAGTCATTCTTTTCTGATCAGAACACACTCGAACTTCGCCCCAAAAAGACTTCGCCAAGTTTCCCCGTGAAACCCATTCGTCTTGTGAACTGACAACCAGATCCGCCCCTTGTTGAAGTCAAGACTAATTTAGAGAGTGAAGCTCGGCTTCATTTCTCTTTGGTGGTTGATGGCTAGTGTTTGATACCCAATCTTCCTTCTTGGAGTCCTCAAGACCTGCAATGATCAGATCTGTTCAACACCACTTTTTTTGTAGTGGGCTGTCCAGTTCTGGTTTTGTGTGTTGTTTTGCTCCATTTCACTGTACTACAGCCAGCCTTGGCTGATGGATACTTGACTAGGAGTGACGAATGTTAGAAGTGGTACTACCTGAACGAGGGCGGGAGTTGCAGTTGGAGAGCTTGTTGTATCTACAGACTGAGATGGGCGCTTTAGTATAGCTTACATAAGTGGCGTCTGACCCAATCACGACGCAGAGCCACTCTTGTATACAGTCCAATACTGGTTTGTTTGTTAGCTCGAGATCTCGGGTCAACTTTCCTAGGCGTTTTTATATTTAAGTGATTCGTTGCGTTCTTCGACCAAAGTGTAATTTAACTGTAAATATGCTTTTTCTAAAGTAAAATACACCATATTGGATCTTGTTGATGCCTTTCGGATCCATACTTAGCCATTTATTTTAATCCTTGAAAGGTTTGGGACAATTTGGAAGAGATCTCGTCCAGTGTACCAGGAGTAGGTACCAAGCTAACAAACAAACTAGCACTAAATTGTATAAGAGCACCTAGTCAGACTCAGTCTGACGGATCCTCTCTAGCATTACCATCATCAGGTATATAAATCTACATTATCACCATACTCGCGGCGTTTCCACGTATTGGTAGTAATATACAATCTAATGCTAGTTTGTTTGTTAGCTTAAGACCTCAGGTCAACTTCCCTAGGCGTTTTTATATCTAATTGATTCGTTTTATTCTATGATCAAAGCGTAATCTTACCTTGAATATGCTCTTTCCCAAATTCAATATATTATATTGAATGTTATTAATAGCTTTCTAAACCGCACCTAGCTATTTATTTTATCCTTGAGAGGTTTAGGACATCTCGGGATAGATCTCGTCCAATATATAGAAGCACCAAGCTAACAGATAAACCAGTATTTGATTGTAGTTTCTAAGGTAATTGTTTGTAAAAAATCATATTTAATTCTCAAGTTCAGCGCCAAAGGCCAAGTCTCGGACTGAAGCGTATACACCCACCTCCAAATTGGAACTCTCGAAGTTTGTACAGACTACCCCAGAATCCAGCTCTGCACGGGCTACAACCCTGGATCCATTCAGCCTTACATCCCTCCAGGAATGGTCGAGGCCACCCGAACACTAGTTTACACTAGATTAGCTCGATTCTAAACAGACAACAGTGATGCCTCCCTAGGACTCCCTTCTATCACTAAAAGACTTGTCTTTACACCTTTGGAAAATAGTTTCTCGGCTGGGTCTGGACATGCTCCCTCCAACCTAACAACATTCTCCTTCCTTACCACGACTTTATCGGTCAAGCCCTACTTTCCTCTGTGATAATCTTGACTTCCGAATATTTAACTTCCCGTTGAACCACGCCCTACCTTGATACTACCCAACCGGACAGACAACCCCTTTCTGCTTTGCTCCCCTCACCAAAACCTAAAGGGCATTGCCCGCCGACCAGCAGCATTAGTGCTAATCGGGCCTCGTGAAATCGAAGGTTGAATGGGTCCAATAGGTTGACCACTCGAGATCGATCCCAAAACCGTGCTGCTCGCCGCCGTACCGTTTCCTGTAGATGCCCACCAAGCGCAATGATTAGCATTTGGAACCCATTAATTTCCCACCTCGAATATCATCTCAACATCAATAATATAGAAGACTCACCAAAACCCCCCGAAGTCACCGTCCCCACCCCCGTACCCGCCCCCGAGCACCCTCCCGCCTCCAAAACAACCTCATACAACGTCTTACACCCGGACGGCAACGCATCACACCCCTTCTCGCATCCCCACGACTGGAACACTGTCATCGGCGGGTTAGCGCAAGTGCAGCCTGCCGTGACGGTGCTCACAGTGACGCAGTCGATGGTCATGCAGGTCGAGCAGACGCTGGCGGTTGAGATGATGATGGGACACTCGGAGACGGGAGTGGGCCTGTCGGTTGGCTCATTGTACGTCGTCGTTACTATCGTTGTGGCTGTGGGTGATAGGAGAGGGTTGGTAAGTGGAATGGTGATGATGCTGGTGGCTGTTGAGGTTGGGAGGGATTGAGTTTGGGCTTGTGTGGCTCTGTAGGGGGATTGGAAAGGTTAGAGAATGTGATTTGAGGGAGGCTTGGTGATGGAAACTTACAGCGCCAGAGAGACGGCGATGAGGCTGGTGAAGGATTTCATCTTCGGTGACAGATGCTCCGAATAGGGCGGTCGTTTCGACGTTGTTGGCCTAGCCAGGGATTTCTATCGTAGAGGTCTGATGGTAGTTTGAGATGGTGAATTGGCTGGAGAGACGTTATAACGATGTGAAATCAGTTATGCCCCTGCTTGTGGTTCCAAACGGACGGCTGTTCATGGCAAGTAAGTGCTTGGGCTGTAAGATTATACGTGGCAGTCGCAGTTGCGAATCGTCGTCAAGTGTGTCGTTGCTGTGCCTTTTGAGCCACAATCGTTCGGTAGGAAGCTGCCAAGTCCCCAAGTCTTACCTGCTTACTTCAAAGCGCTCTGGGTAGCGAAAGTGGTGATTTTATTTGCAGCCCCTCATCTGATACTGAGGTAGTCTGATCTCCAGCGCCCAAGCGCGAGCCGGTACGTCATGGTGAACCAAAGTCCGTGACACAAGGAAATCCGCGATACGGAGAGCAAGTGCGACTTGGTTCGTTGTGGTTGTACGAGAGAATCAGCAGCAAGCGGCTGAAGCGGGGTACGCTAGAGTTGTAAGTGACAGGCGGGACTGTTTGAGCTGAATGAGTGAAGAGCACCTGGTAGTTAGGCGACGACAGCAAGCCCGGTGTGGTGACACAATAGTTATCCGCTTAACTCAGCTGAGACGTCTGATGTAAGTATTGGTATATCAATTTCGACGACATGCTTCCATCAGGTATAAAGAGACTACTTAGAGGGCAATCGTAAATAATCCCAATTGGAGATCTTGAACCGCGGCAACGGCTGCTGAGCCTGAATGATAAAGATCTCAATCCAACGCTCGATGGACAAACCCAAGATGCTATGACATCTGACACATGCCTGTGTAAGACATTGTAACGCAACGGGATTGTCACACGAAGGACAGGATTTTGTGAAGAGCAAACTCACTAATACGTGACACTTCGGATCGGCGTTAGCAAATGCCTCGAAGCAGCTTCAAAGACCTACCGTTTCACCTTTGCGAGGCCGTGAACGACCCAATATCCGTAATGTTGTGAAGAGATTGGCAAGACAAGCGTCTCTCACATTTGATCCCAACCGCTACCCAAACTAAAAGCATGAGATGATGGTTCAGTTTCATGAGAGAACGGCGAGTCAAGTTTGTGATGCCATCACGATGCTGGAGGTAGGTCTTCTCGAGTAAGCACATGTGATGGCGAAAAGGGGAGAGAAAACTTACATATGATTTTATATCAAAGTGCGCTCGCCTCTTCACATGTTTGAAGGTATCACCGAACGTGTTCGTTCCTTCCCATTCCCTACCCTCCATCGTGTTCTTCCCCCCTCATATTTCCAAATTCGACTAGTCAATGATCTTCAGCGGAGAGGATTCCACGAGAAATACCAAATATGACCATCCCACGAGATTTTGAAGCGCCCCGCTGCAGACCATGTGGTAATCTGACCGAATCGCATTGACAGTCCTACCTCAGAGACAGATCGCGATGACCGTGACTTGACCCACTGACATGAAGTTCACGATATCGAGATGTTCTGCAACGCAAAGATATAACTCACAGAGTAACACCTGCCACGGCCACAAGCTGACAAAAACGGAACATATGCCGTGATATCCGTTGCAAATGCAGATACCCCTGAGGATGATTGACGCTATCACGGTCCAAAGTTCTTGAATCACGCCATGAAAACGGTACGGCGGAGTTCAAAGACCTGCGACGGCGCGGAGAGACCAATGAAATGAGTTTTGCATACAATTGCGAGGACTGCGATATATCGGGGCTTGGCTGGTACGAAACGCTGCGGGAAGGACGGGGGATTGACAAATTTGCTGATTTCGAGATAAGCATATCCAAATGCCTCTTCGGAATGCTTTTCGGAGGCCTCTTCGAAAGTACCGTTCTTGTTGTCCTGAACAGCTGAATAGCCGAAAGCACTTGTCAGAAAATATAGCGTAGCCGTTCAACCGGCGTGGCTTTGTGATGTTTCTGAAGAGAAAGAGGGGTGTCCTCCTGTGGCTGTTGAAGCATCCAGAAGTAACCTTTCCACAGGCTACAGCCAACGTAATCTGGCAAGGAAAACATTGAGATTCCAACATATCCAAGATCGAACTTGATTTCCTCCACGTGCCAGCCCATGCTTGCATATCTCCTCTTCAGTGCCGCTTCATCACATCAATGAAGCAGGTTGAGCAGCGAGGTTTGAATCCACTTGGATCTCCAGCAGATCCCATTCCCCCACAGATAGGAAGTTGTAAGTCCGGGGTGGATCAGCAATTTGCGGGGTAGTAGCGTGTTCGGGTTCAGTTGCCTATCGGCTCCATCAACTACGTCCTTCGCCGGTCGACTTCAACTGTTGAAGCAACCATGGTGACTTGCGAGTAGTGCGTTCCAGAACCTCGAGGCGAATTGCAAATAAATAGGCATGACAGTGGTTGGACCAGAGATGTAAGCCTTATTAAGAGGGCATTTGAGAGGCGCCTCCCACAGCCTTTAGGCGTTCCGTCGTAGCCTGGCCTGATGTTTGAAGTTGGTGGACAATGGCAGGCCGTTAACAAATCTGGGAAAAGGATCAAGAAGCTAAGCCTCGAAAGGGCCGTTGGTCGGGGGGAACCGGCAACCTCATGGAGAACGGCGGCACCAGCCACAGATACTTCCATGGGCTGTAGATCGCCGGGATCATGGCATTCAGTTTATCCGATGAGACAAGGCAGGTGCCATCCGGATAGTATGAGTAAGCTGGCGAAGGCTGGTTTCGGACCGTTTAAGAGACGGCGAGGCGGGCGACGCGGCTGCCCGGTCGACAATGTGGGTCTACTGGGCCGTGTTGGTCGGACAAAAGTCCCTGAATGGAATCTGGATAGGGGTTCGGGGCGCTGGGTCCTGCCGTACGCTGCATTCTCCCGAAAGACGGAAAAGGGCAGATAACGGGGGATTGAATGGGAGCAACGGGCCGTCCACCGTATTCCGTCCCTGCCCGGCGGTGTTATGTTGATCCTTGACACGAAATACGCCGAAACAACCAAGCGAGGGAGTATCGAGGCAACGTATGAATAAAGTGTTGGGAATATCAAGCTAGACAAATCTGAGATGCGCTCAGGAGACACTGTCTCGAGACTGCGAGCATCACAAGCTTGTGACGATATACTGTGCAGACGCGGGAAGAAACAAGGCAGAGCCGGCCGAATATCGTGAAGTGACGGGATTTCGAGCTTCAGGTGGTTGCTGTGCTGTGGCCGATGTCTCGGAATCGCACACCATCTAGTTCGGATAACGCAACGTGGTTAAGATGCAAGAGTGGCCTGATGATCGACAGGTAAGCAAGGTAAAGCACCCAACCTGGCCTATCTGGTAGTTTGCGAGTCTGCAATGGCCCATTTAGAATGGTTTGTTAGCCATGATATGGAATGAATGGGTGCGGCTCCCGCAGCCGAGAATATGCAAAAGAGACGGATAACTTGACTGGAAACAGCAAAAACACCGCCGAATGGAAGCCACTTGAGACTTGATCATCTCCATCAGCATCGATTGGCATCCTTGCCATGTCGTGAATGCAGGGTAGCGAGAAAGGGGAAATTGATCGCCTGCCTCAGGTAGGCAAGTAGGGATAAGGGGACCGTTTTGATTGATATCGTGAGTTTTGGCCCTGTGAGGAGTGAAGAGTACCTGAAGTGAAATGCTGTGAAATGCGAACCCCTGGTCGTCCCACCGTACACAGCCTGTGATGAGGGAAACGGGAGGCTTGTGAGAGAGAGGATGGAAGAGGGTGTGGTGAGACGAGAGGAAGATCCCAAATGTTCGATCGAGGTTGGTGGGGGTCTGATACAGTACCAGCTTGGCCTTTTCTCCGAACGGTTCCATGTGTTCCAGTTGGTCAACGGTTCCGATTCACAACCTTCATCTTGGCGGTTGAAGACGGGACTGATGTTTCGTTGTCAGATCCTGATGGGCGCCAAATTACTGGACTGTTGGAGACGGCGTTGTGATCAAAGTCCGTTTTTGTCCATCTTGGACCTGAGAATCCCTTCCCCGAGTGGATGGATCAGAGACGCAGTACCGCGTGCAAGTCGTCGCGGGCTGGATATCAAAGTATCGTGTTTGTAGGCGTTGATTCGAGAGCTGGATAGTCAGGAATCGTGACCGGCGCGAAGAGTGTCAGCAAGACAGGGCACATCTAGAACTCTGCAAAGAAACTGGCAGAGTTAATAATATCATGTAGTTGCCCCTTTGTGGTTGCATGTCGCATACTCATCCGTGGTTGCTGCTGGTGGAAATCGTGAAAGCGGTCAAGAATGATGAGAACTACGACGACGGGAGTCATACCACGTGTGTACAGCCAGATTGCGAGATAACACCTACATGGCAATAAATTCAGAACAATGCGACAAACATACGGGTCATTGACCACCGCGACTGCGACTGGTTGAGGTGAAAGCTGACTCGAGAGGTTGGTTGACCGGCGTCACCGGCTTCGTTGAAGTGTGGTGGTGTGGTGTGGTATCGTGAGTGAGGCGAAGAGGCGGAGGAGGACGGCAAGTTGCCAGTTGTTGACCGCTTGTTGCCTGTTTTCCGGAAAGGGATGATATCAGACACCAAAAAAGAAACTCACGATGTCAATCGACAGTCGCGTTGGAGTCGCAATCGCCGTGGATTGTTGTTCGTTCTTGCCGCACGTCATGCTGGTGGATTCTGGTGGGCTTTTGGCGGGCCGGGCTT